AGCCCCGACGGCCCTTGGATCAACAATCATCCACCAATTCAAGATCAAGCCCCGACGGCCCTTGAAGAAAGTGTTCTTCGTTCATCGTTCTTCCAAGATCAAGCCCCGACGGCCCTTGGATCAACAAGCCACCGTTCTTCAAGATCAAGCCCAAAAGCCTTTGAAGATCCGTTCATCACTGTTCTTCAAGATCAAGCCCAAAAGCCCTTGAAGATCCGCTCATCACCGTTATTCAAGATTAAGCATCAACGGCCCTTGAAGAAACACTCATCCTCAAGATCAAGCCCCAACGGCTCCTTAAAGATCCGTTCAAATCCACCTTCAAAGATCAAGCCCACGGCCCCTTGAAGAAACTTCCAACAGTTCATCCAAGATCAAGCCTCAACGGCCCTTGGATCAACGAAACATCCACAAATCAACACCTTACGGAGATCGAATCAGAGAATCAAAATTTAAGAGAGATTGTAACCCAAAATCATCAAATACAAATATTTGTTTATGCACGTTGTTCTTGTCGCTTTCGTTTTACGAAATTTTCGTGTTCACAGTATCATTTTGAAATAAAATAGTACGTGAGGTATGAAAGTGAAATGTTTTTAAAATGTTGTATAAGGTTGTAATAGACTTCAAACCTGAGGGGTTACTATGTAATTTACCATTTAAAAAAAAAATATTTTCTTTATTATTTTAATATTTAAAAAATATTAAATTTATTTTTTTAGATTTTAATAATATTTTAATAATTTTTTAATAGAAAATGGGCCGCAAATCAAGCCATGTCAGTATTTAACTGAGAAATTCACGCCAACCCTAACGAAAGGTATAACATTGTCACAAATTCGTAAGATGAGGTATGACATTGTCAATTTTAAAAGATGAGGTATGAAAGTGTCGTGACACCAATAGTTGAGGTAGTTTTTTGTACTTTACCCAATTTATTATATATCCTATAAATAAGTATTTATTTACACCTAAATGTATTAGAAATTTAGAAGAAAAAAAATAAAATGTGCATAATACAAGTTGTTTTTGTAATATGAAGGGGTTTGAAATGCTTTATAACTTGGATATTATATCTTTACAATGCCAATGGGAAACCGGCTTCTAAGGTAAGTTGTTCAAATCTATAAAATAAGCCCTCCCACATCGCCCAATGATGTGGATCTTCTAGGCCTTATATGTATATTCACATCTCTACCTAGCACGAGGCATTTTAGAAGCTCACTAGCTTCGGGTTCTATCGGAACTCCAAAGTTAAGCGTGCTTGCAGCGAGAGCAATTTCAGGATGGGTGACCCACTGAGAAGTTCTCGTGTGAGTTCCTAGAAACAAAACCATGAGGGTGTGGTCGGGGCCCAAAACGGATAATATCATGCTACGGTGGAGTCGAGCCCGGGATGTGGTGGGGTCCGAGCCTGGATGTGCCACCTAGAGATTGTAAAAAGAAACCAAAAAGCCATTGTAGCTCACATCCCCCAATGTATCTAATTCAATTAGCGAACCAAACAGGCCATCCATGCTTCGATATTTACAAAGAACACTCTAGTGTAAAAAAAAAAACAAAAAAAAAACAAAGAACACTCTAGCAAAAGGCGGTGGAAGTTACGTGGGCCATCACCCTTTTTTTTTCTCTCTGTAATTTTTTTTTCTCTCAAATCTTCTTGGTAATCTCAGAGCAGGATTATGATTCTCTTTCTAGTCATTTTTTAGAACATTGCTTAGTAATACGCTATAAGAGGAGGATTCCCTCCCCTTTTAATTTTTGTCCCTTTCTAATTTTTTTCCCTTTTCGTCATTTCTACTCGAACGGTTACGGTTAAATCAAGTTAACATCTTATAGATCATCCTTGCAAAATATTTCGAACTTTAACGATTCGAACTGTTTATTTTTTGGGGTGTGATATCCATACACCCCTTTTTACTTCTTACACACCCTTTTAATTTCCAGCCTTCGGATCAGATGAATTGAAGAAGATCAAAATACAAAAATCAACAAGGGTGTGTGAGAAGTAAAAATGGGTGTGTGGATAGCATACCCCTATTTTTTAAGTTGCATCTCATAGATCATCCTTGCAAAATATTAGCCAAATCGGAAATCGGAAATATTTAAGACATATAATTGGGCTCAAAGAAATTAACAAATACTTGTTATATAAGAAACAATGAAATTTTATCTTAATAATTAAATAAGCAAATGATTTTGAATTGAATTGAATTTTTGCAAGGATGATCTATGAATCGAGACTTACAAAATAGATGATTCAGATCGTTAAAGTTCGATGTGGAGTGAGCCCCATACTTAATCACCATTTTTTGAAAAAAAAAATGGAGATCGCTTTGCATAAATGATATGCACTTTCAAAATCTCAAAGTTATGCTACTTAGTAACAATGTTCTAAAAACGCTAGGCGCTAGTCGGGTGGTGGTATGGGGCCTAGCGCTTAGACGGGCGCCTAGGCGAACCAGGCATATTTGAATAAAATTTATATATATCCTATAAATAAGTATTTATTTACACCTAAATGTATTAGAAATTTGGAAGAAAAAAAATGTGCATATTACAAATTGTTTTTGTAATATGAAGGGGTTTGAAATGCTTTATTGCTTGGATATTATCTCTTTACAATGCCAATGGGAAACCGGCTTCTAAGGGATTTAATTATGCAACAAATTATTTTGTACAAATCTATAAAATAAGCCCTCCCACATCGCCTAATGATGTGGATCCTCTAGATCTTATATGTATATTTTCATCTCTACCTAGCACGAGATATTTTGAAAGCTCACTGACTTCGGTTTCCATCGGAACTCCAAAGTTAAGCGAGTTCGCAGCGAGAGCAATCCCAAGATGGGTGACCCACTGGGAAGTTCTCGTGTGAGTTCTCAAAAACAAAACCATGAGGGCGTGGTCGGGTTCCAAAATGGACAATATCGTGCTACGATAGAGTCGAGCCAGGAATATGGTGGGGCCCGGGTGGGATGTGACACCTAGAGATTGTAAAAAGAAACCATAAAGCCACTGTAGCTCACATCCCCCAATGTATCTAATTCAATTAGCGAACCAAAGAGGCCATCCATGATTCGATATTTACAAATAACACTCTAGTTCTGTAAAACAAAAAACAAAAAAACAAAGAACGCTCTAGCAAAAGGCGGTGGAAGTTGCGTGGGCCATCACCTTTCTTTTTTTCTCTCTGCAATTTTTTTTCTCTCTCTAATCTTCTTGGTAATCTTAAAATAGGATTATGATTCTCTTTCTAGCATTTTTTTAGAACATTGATTAGTACTACGGTCTGAGAGGAGGATTCCCTCCCCTTTTAATTTTTTTCCCTTTTCGTCATTTCCACTTGAACGGTTACAGTTAAATCAAGTTAACATCTTACATTGACTTCTTTTCTTAATTGTTGAATTGTATAAATTAAACAAAAATGTAAGTTTTTAAATCAATCGCATATTACATAGGAAACTGTTATTAACATTCCAAAATCGATTGTCTTTCATTTTGATAGCGAGTAGTTTTTATAATAATAAGTCAAGGCAAGAAAAAAATTTATCCTACACTTCTCACGGATGCATTTTTCTTTCTACTTATAGAAAATTTGAAGATTAAAATAAATTTTTTTAAGTGCCAATAAAAATTCTTTATAACATAGTATCATAATGTAAGTTTTTATCATAGGCAGCAATTGGATTTGGCCCCACATGGTACTATGTAGCACTCTTCTTATCTTTGCTATGAACATGATTACCCGAACATAAAAGTCTACATGCCTTTTTAACTAATGAAGATAATAAACACACATTTTTTTAAATTAAATGAAAATAAGAGACAAAATTAAACAAAATCGTGTGAAAGACTAGAAAAGATGCATATTTATCGTTTCTCTTAACGAGCATACAACTTCAAACATTAACCTGCCCTCATTTTATTTAGCAAGATAGTACTACGATTTAGTGATATTTATTTTTCGGTTATAAATGACGGGTATTAAATTCGATTCTCATCAAAAAAAATTTAAACCATATTTAAAGCGAGTCCACTCCCACACTTCTTAATATATATATAATATTGTATGGAGTAAAAAAGATGTCATCATTTCATTTTGGCTAAATTGGATTGTTCATCCTGTGGTCATAGGACACTTGCATGATGACTCCCGTGGTGAAAAAACTAGGAATTAAACTCCTGTGGTCTAGAATGTTAGCAAATTTAGTCCAAAAGTAAGATTTCTGTTAAATGACTGTTAAAAGTTAGGGTAAAACTGTATTTTCAGTTCCAATTGACATTGAATTTGCACTTTTTTTTATTTAAAAAATTAAGCATTATTTTTTTTGTTAATTGTTATAAAAAAAATTATTTAGTTTAAATGTCAATTGGAACTGAAAATACAGTTTTACCTATACTTTTAACAATCATTTAACAGGAATCTTACTTTTGGACTAAATTTATTAACATTCTTGACCACATGAATTTAATTCCTAGTTTTTTCACCACGGGGGTCATCATGCAAGTTTCCTATGACCACAGGGATGAATAATCCAATTTGGCCTTTCATTTTTATTATAATTAAAGAAATTATTATTAACACTTCAAACATTTTATTATGCATTCATCACAGGATTATTTTTTTCTTCTAAATATATAAAATTTAAATTACTAATAACACCTCTCTAATTAAATTTTTTTCTTTTAATAATTGCTTAAATCTACAAAGAAGGCAAAATATCTTACAAAACCAAGGGTGAGGGCAGGAATCTTCACCAAAAAAAAAAGAGGACGCAGGAAAAGAAAAGAAAATGACTGATTAAGAAATAAAGTAATCCAAAGTCCCGATCGCCAACCCATACAACTCACTTTTCCAGCCGTTGGATTCCGACAAATCAACATCTGCATGGTCCAGGAAAGTGGAAACCGAACATACTTGTCACAATCCAACGGTCCAAAATCCCCAAATCACATCTTAAATCTAATGCTTGTACATGTTCATACCCAATCACACCTCACTCTGCTGAGAGCTCACTTTTGGTTAACTGTTAAGTCAAAACAATCAGTGAGAACATCACAAAATCATAAGATTCAAGAAGCTAAATCTGCTAAATCCAAAATCTTAAAAACCCAAATCTCCAGTTCCCAAAAAGATCCAGAAATCGAGAGAGAGAGAGAGAGAGAGAGAGAGAGAGAGAGGAGAGAGAGAGAGATCAAAACCCAGGAGAAACAGAGGGTGAAGCAAATGGGAGTGACAATGGGTCTGAATCTGCTGCTGCTGATGGCTATGGTGGCCACCAACATACTCTCACTCTACCACCTCTCCTCCACTCTCCAAACCCCAAAACCCCCAACTCCCCAGCCAGTCCCTGACCACCTTCTCCACCAGCTCCACACATTACGCGCCACCATCAACCACCTCACGCGCGACCACCCTTCCCCATCAACCGCCACCGCCAAAACAACCAAACCCGACATCCCCTCAGATCTCCTCCTCTACTCTCAGCTCTCCCCCATCGCCTCCTCCTGCCACAACCACCCTGACCTCGTCCACAAGTACATGACCTACACCCCCTTCTCTCTCTGCCCACTCGACTCCGACCTTGCCGAGGCACTCATTCTCCGCGGCTGCCACCCGCTCCCCCGCCGCCGATGCTTCACAAGAACCCCACCAAAACCCACTTCTTCTCTCCCCCTGAATCCGTTTCCTCCTTCGCTTCCGGACTCCAATGTCTTGTGGGACAAGTATTCCTGCAAAAGCTTCAGCTGCCTCGGCGGCAAAAACCCCAACTTGGGCTTCGACCTGCCTCACGAAGTGTCCAATTTCATGAGTTACAAGTCGGAGCTCGACCTCCCAATCCCTCAGCTCTTCCAAATCGCCAAAGCCGCCAACTCGGTCCTCCGTCTCGGCGTCGACATCGGCGGCGGAACTGGGACTTTCGCGGCGAGGATGAAGCTCTACAATGTCACCGTTGTCACGACCACGATGAACCTTGGAATCCCCAACAATGAGGCGGTGGCGCTGAGAGGGTTGGTCCCAATTCACGCGCCGCTGCAGCAGCGGTTGCCAATGTTCGACGGGGTGGTGGATCTGGTGCGTTGCGGGCACGCCGTGAACCGGTGGATACCGGCGACGGCATTGGAGTTTTTGCTGTTTGATGCGGATAGAGTGTTGAGGGGAGGAGGGTACTTGTGGTTGGATAAATTTTTCAGCAAAGGGGTGGATCTTGAGAAGGTTTTTGGACCGTTGATTGGGAAATTGGGGTACAGGAAGGTGAAGTGGGCTACTGCAAATAAGAACGATTCCGGCGGGATCAAGAATGGTGAGGTTTACTTGTCTGCTCTGCTCCAAAAACCTGTCTCGAAATGAGGTTGCAATTTGAGGTACTAATGTGCTATTTATTTCCCAGTTTGTTCCTTGAATCTGCAATTTTTGGTATAAACTGATTAGTGAATTAGTTGGATCTAGCATTTGTTCGTGGTTAATTACTTTGTAGCTACAATGTCAGCTGAATATAAAGTGCACTCGAATTAAGTAGATTAGAATCGCGTCGCTGTCTTAGAGCTCGTTTGAATGTACTTTTAAAATAGCTAAAAGCGTTTTTAAAGAAAATGTTTTTTGGTTTCAAAAGCACTTAAACTGCTTTCTGCAAGAAGCACCGGTTTTGTCCGGTTTTGTGCTTCTTCCAGGAAGCACTTTAAGTGCTTTTCAGAATTTACTTGCATTTTTATTAAGGATTGGTTCCAAAAACATTTTCATCAAAAGCGCTTTCAGTCATTTTAAAAGTACATTCAAACAAACACTTAGTTTGGTTTGAAGTTTTGCGCATTATTTGCAGGTCCTAAATATGATTGTTTCGTCTCTGATATGTTTTGCGTGATCTGGTTGTGGCATTCATGTCTTTGTTGGACAAAGTTCTATGAGAAGTTTTGCGCATTATTTGCAGGTCCTAAATATGATTGTTTCGTCTCTGATATGTTTTGCGTGATCTGGTTGTGGCATTCATGTCTTTGTTGGACAAAGTTCTATGAGAAGTTTTGCGCATTATTTGCAGGTCCTAAATATGATTGTTTCGTCTCTGATATGTTTTGCGTGATCTGGTTGTGGCATTCATGTCTTTGTTGGACAAAGTTCTATGAGATCTTAATACGAACCAGAGCCAGTCACGTTAGTTCCTTCGTTGCTATCATATAGCCTGGTGTTCCAGGAGGAACATGGCATTCGCCTTCGGTGTACATTGTCTTTAGGCCTCTTGAATTGCTGAGTGTTTGCTAGAATTTACTTTGTCTGTGAATAATCCAAGATGTGCTACCTGGTAAACCTTGCGTAAAATTTTCGGAGAGATGACATTGACAATCTGTTTAGCGGGCTACTGTAATGTGACGTCGTAAGCAGTAGTTTTAATCATATGTGAATCATACTCGACATTTTCTAAGTGCTCGGAAGTGGTGGTGTTGGATCATCGCACCATCTGCACACGGTGATTAAGGGAACCTTAACTGGTATTTTTGTGCTACTGACTGTAACTTAAAATCTGACTGAGATGGGTTTTGTGCTTGGGCTGCAGGCATTGCCGTCAATCGTTGCTGCTAACGAACATACACCTCTCCTGAGAAGATGGGCGTCCTTCATCGAGCAATGAGACAGTATACCTACGTTCTCCGATCTAAAGCGAGTTACACCTCAAGCTACTTGTTAATGATGTAAACAATCGTCGAACGTCGCAAAATATGTAACGCTATCAAAGGTTCCCAAGGAGGGAGAAGCCGAAATTAGGCGCGTTCTCACCCTCAGTTAATGGTTTTTGGTAGGATTACTCTTGACTAATTGTAATATTTATTCCAATTAATTCTTCATAAATGAATCCGAAGAGCAATTATGCTTTCCGGTAGCTTTTACACGTTACACATGAAGTAACTTTAAGTGTTGTGAAAAGCGTGGATTCCATGCACGAAAGGTTGGGGAAAAAAGCAAAGGAAAGTAGGTCATATTTTTTTGGAACATTAACGAAAAACTTCGGTACTGTTTATTTTAACGAAAAACTAAATTTTATACTAAAAGGTCAATCTTGGTATTATTCATTTTATCTTTTATTTTGTCGTTAAAACTCAAAATTTTCAAACATTTTTTATTAGTTTTCCTTTTTTTTTTGGTTCAAATGCAATTCCTTGTACGGTCTTAGCAGCAACCACTACCAATTTCTAAAGGGGTGTGATATCTATACATCTTATTTTACTCTTCACACATATTTTTAATTTTCAGCTGTCGGATCAGATGAATTGAAGAAGATCAACGGACATAAATTATCAAGGGGTGTGTGAGAAGTAAAATAAGGTATGTGGATAACACACCCTTTCTAAAATGCAATTCCTTGTACGGTCTTAGCACCAACCACCACCAAAGAAATTGGTTGAGAAAGAGGCCCTGCCTCCGGCCACCAGAGCAGCCGGAGCCCAGCAATTGTTGCGGCGGCTGATGCATTCAGTGCGTTTGTTGTAGATTCAATCAAGATATTTGTATCCTGGATTCAATCATGGATTCGAGAAGATACTCGTTTCCGTCGACATCTAGCCATTTTCTGACTTTTCCGGCAACAAGCTCTGAAAACGGTAGCGGTTTCAGAGAAAACGGTAGCGGTTTCAGAGACGACGGTAGCTTCAAGCATAAAAGCAAAATTAAAAAGTTGGAACATGATATCTCTGTCATCACATCACAAAGAAAACGGTTGCTTCAAGTATTTCTTTCAGGCACACTTGCTCAAAGAAAAAATAAAAAAGACAGTATTACAAAATCTCATACGACGCTTCACGTCACACCAGAGAGTCAGAGACGATGCCCAACTGAAGCTAGAAACTGGTTTTCCCATGGCAACATTTTCTCACACCGCTCCGACGGCTCAATCGGTAGCTTTCCGCCTCAGAAGGTGTTGCATGCTGATTCTGTTGATCTTAGCAGCAAGTATGAAGTCATTCTCGGTCAATCCACCTGCACAATGCATACCATGTCAAAAGCTAAATCTCATGTGCAATCAAATCTTCAAACGAATTGGCTCTTGAAGTAAATTGAACGACTTTCAGCGTTGTATTAAGGTGATCTCTAAAAAGGTGATCTCTAGCTGGAAAATATTTAGGTAACATTCGGAGTTCGGCTGGTAAGTTTCACTGAGGTAGAATTCCGTAACCAGTACCAGAACCAGAACCAAAACTAAACAGAAGTTTGAAATAAGCAACTGGACGAAGCTTCATGTATCATATGTTCACCTATTTTCCGCAAGGTAAAGCAAGAGTTGTACAATACTTTTATTTCCCAGAAGCGTTAATGGTGGTAGGAAAACTTCATTAGCAAAACGTTATATACACCGAGAGAAGGGGATGGAAGAACCTCACCTCTGCCCTCCAAGACGACCTAATGCATAATGGTTTTATTCAAGAAACATGTATAAATACATAGTACCAATTAATTAATGGCGAATCCTTACCAACCGCATGTGTCCAAATCTCGACTGTTACATTGTTCCATCCAACTAGATGAAGATCTGGATGATGACCTGGAACATACACATTACGGTTTTCCATCTACATCAGACACATTCTATCTTATTTAAATTCTAATGCATTCTTCATACACGCGATAGCTACAACTTCATACACGCGATAGCTACAACTACTCATCAGAAAACAAAAAAAAAAGCTTAAAAATACCTTCTGCTTCTGCAACATCAGCTACGAGCTTAAGCATATCCAGTCCTTTTGTGAAGGTCTTAACTGTCCATGATCTTTTCAGTCTCAAAGCATCACCTTCACTCACCAAATTCCATCCGTCCACCTAAACCAAATATATTAATATTAAAGGAGAAACATACATGTGTGTGTAACTGTGTATATATATAGGCGATAGTTAACTCTTTAATCGAAACCTTTGTGATTAATCCTTTTGCTGCTTGTTCAGTCATGGGTCGCATGTCCTTTGAGTCGCAAGACACGCACTTCTTTATTAACAAATCTAATGCCGCCAGAAAACAGTACAAGATAAGAAAAATATGACTTCCCTGACAAACAAAGCTATGACAAAACCAGTATTACCAGATTTTGATATTGTAGAAAAAATAACATCAATAAATAATCAATGCCGGTTATACTAGATAAGAAAACAACATTCATGGATATGCCCAGCAAATGGACAAGCAGGTTCCTTCCCTTTAATGAATAAGAGCTTCTATATTTTACCAGAAACCGTACAAGCTGATTAAGGAGGATAGACAGACACAGCAGAGATGAACCTACTAAGAAGTAAAGATTACACACCAGTTACCACAATTAAACATGGGAACAATTTGATACTTAGAACTTTTTCTCATAAAGGTCCTGGATCGATTAAGCAATATCTCAAAGCCGTAAACCAGGACAAGAGTATTTAGAATGGCCAACGCAATAAATCACAGAGGAATTGGGTATATGCATGAGTAGATAATTTAGTTTTTGGCCATGTGGATTAAGCTTTGCACACAAGAAAAAATTAGTCTTCCCAAGCTACTTCTTTTCCTGTAAGAAGGAGATAAAGCCGATGTCTAAAATTTCGTGAATGGATGCGTATGGAACAATGATGCCATAGTAATAAGATGTTCTACCGCATGCTGGCACCCCAAGCTTACTTGAAAGGTTTTGTCACATAAATCGCAGTTCGGAGAGAAACTGCATTCGATTGTCAAACTGCAAAAACGACGAAAAGTCCAGTGCAAAAGTTCTAAATCCACATACTGAGTTTCTACTGGACGACAACAATCCCACATTGACATAGTTCTGAAGTATCTCAAACACTCGGCTACCGGAACCTATGATGCACGGATACATTTGTTTGGTCCCGTATTCTGTATCCGATACTTGCAGATGCGGTACTTGCCCGATACTCTTGGATACTCGTCCGACACGTATCTTGGTTGATGGACACGAATTTGACATGATGGATACGCGTATCCTACCTTTAGGATACACGTATCCGGCTTTTAGGATACATTTACACTTTCAAAAAAGGTTATGAGGAGGAGAAAATTAATACGAGACATCTATAATTAAAAGTTGCTGAATACAAAGAGTTCCCTCTAATTAAAACCATGAATACGACTCTCACACTTCTTCTATTGTACAAAGAGGATTAGATTTCGAACTTTTATTCTCTAACAACTCAAATGTATTTGTATTTGAATTTGAATGATGAATTATGTTTTAAAATGTATACTTTTGTTGCTATATATATTTTTATTTGCCGTATGCATAGCGTATCGTATTTTAATTTTTAGAGATTTTCCGTATTGTCGTGTTGTGCCGTATCATATCGTCGTATCTGTATCCGTATCCATGCTTCATAGACCGGAACTGTATTTTAAGTACAAAATTTGTTTTCACAAAAGAATCCAACTCCAAGAAGTGCATGCATGTTGAAGTTCTAATTAAATCACAGAATTATAAAATCAAAACAACAAAATTGAATGTAAAGCAGCAATCTTTCAACCCTCAAATTTTCATCAAACAACACAACCAATCACAAGATTAATGACAAACAAAACATGGGTAAGTCGAGAAATTACAGAAGATTGAAATTGAAGATTCAAAAAACCATTTTTTTATCATCATATAAAGGGCATGCAGGGAATTACCGTCCATGAGTTCCAGTGAAGCTTTGAATCACAGATGCTAATGGTACCTGTAAATTTTCCGAGAAAATTTCAGCAGAGGAGAAAGATGAGAGAGAGAGAGAGAGAGAGAGAGATACCTTCTGCAACAGTCGACTCATGAATGTTTCTGTAGACTCTGAAAGGGGAGGCGATTTTGAACGGTGGGCAGTGATCAGATGATGTAATAGAAACTCGAAAGTTTGTATTTTTGCGAAGCTTTCGCGGTTGGACGTGATTGAGAAAAAGGATGAGATTACAGAGGCTGAAATGAAAATCGAATAGAATTGATGGCAAAAATTATAAAATTAAATAACTTTGTGGGTTCTCTAGAAATAACGTAAAATTGAGTGGTGGGTTGGGGAAAGTATAAATGTGAACAAACGTGTCCGGAAAACAAAAAATTTCGCTGCGTTTTTGCTTCTTCGTCTGAGAATTGCTCTCCTCCGCCGAACAAAATGGTCAGTTTCTTTCTCTCTCTTCCTCTTTCTCTCTCTTAAAATTCCAATTGATTTACCAAAATTTTAGGGCTAGGATTTAGGGTTAGGGATTAGACATTGTTATCAGCTTCTTGATCTGTTTGTGAGTGGAATAATTGGGGTCGGATCCGTGTTCCTTAGAACTGGATCTCTCAGATCCTGCTGCAACAACATAATTTAAATGCATATTCTCGATAAATTTTGAAAAATGCAGGCATTTTTTAATTGGAAGATAATAAATTGTTGTGAATTTTATGTTTGTTTGTTCTTGATAATTTGATGCTGTTAATGACCCAAAATTATCAGTGTATGAATGGTATGTATACATGGATGATGGATCCCATTTGAATTTTTAAGAAAAAATTGGATTTGAGCTTGCAACTGAGTTACCGTAGTGGACCGTGTTCTTGGGAAATTATTCCACAAGATTTTTGTGTTTGTTTGATCTGGTTGATGCTGCTCAACAATGTAGTTGAGGTTGTAAATGGATCCTGCTTAAGTTTTTAAGATGTTCAATATAAGCTTGCAAATGAGTTAACAGAACCAACTATGATCCCGGGAAATCATTTCTGTAAACTTGTAGTCGAACATATTCAGCACAATTGTGCAAGCGCAATGTTAGATGTACACACATATATAGTACACGTTAAATCTCGAGTGCTGAATGCAAACGTGTTTATCAAATTAGAGAAACAATTCCATTGACTGGGTATGATTACACTCATGCTTTAGTGTAAGTTGCAATTGTCATTACACTATATTTAGGCTTACATGTACAAGTAACGACTATTAACTTTTGTTATTGATGTGGTAAGAGTCGGTAACCATTTTAAGCTTATATCTAATTGGAAGCAAAACATTAGTTTTCCCTGATAAGCATGAATGAGTGAGATATCTGACCCTTCGGTGGATGTAGCCACGATTATCTCTTTTTAATGTCAGTGCTGAAATCATTTGGTGCAGTGTATCGTATAATGATTCAAGTTTTGGCAATCTCTAATCGGTTATTGGCTATGGTTTGTAGGAGTCCTGCCCTTCGATAAAGAACATCCTCCTCCTCGATTCTGAAGGGAAACGTGTGGCTGTCAAGTATTATTCAGAGGAGGACTGGCCAACGAATACTGCCAAAGAATCTTTTGAGAAAGCTGTATTTACTAAAACTCAAAAGACAAATGCGCGGACAGAAGGTAATTTAAGCTTTAATTATTTCTGTACAGGTCATGTCATCAAATTATTCTAATCCCTATCAAATGCTATCCCCTCATATGAAGCATTGTGTTGTTTTGATTCGAACTACTTCCATATTAACTTGTTGCGTCTTCATGTACAGCTGAGATAGCAATGTTTGAGGGCACCATTGTAGTTTACAAGTTTGTTCAGGACCTTCACTTTTTTGTTACTGGTGGTGAAAATGAAAATGAGCTCATTTTAGCCACAGTTCTGCAGGGATTTTTTGATGCGGTTGGCATTCTCCTGAGGTATTTTATCCTCCTTATAAAACTTGATAAATTCTCTACTCTCAAGTAGTTATATTTCTATATTCATTTTGTCTCACTTTTGTCCAGAGGCAATGTGGACAAGAAGGAGGCACTTGAAAATTTGGATCTCATTTTACTATGCCTTGATGAAATTGTTGACGGGGGGTAAGATATAACCTTCACGCTTATAAAGTTTGTTAGTGCTATTCAGTGAGTTCAATTCCCAACTTTTACATTTTTCTAAAAGCCTAGAATGATATAAGAACCAACGTTGTTGCAGTTTACTTGCAGAGAATAATGATAACGCGATTTGCATGTCTGGACCATTTGTTCGGTTCATATGTACCTTATTTCTTGTACAATCACAGTGCCCTTAGGCTTAACCCTTTCTTTTTGGTGCAGTATTATTCTTGAGACCGATTCAAATGTTATAGCAAGTAAGGTTGCAAGTCACAGTATTGATGCTGGAGCTCCGTTGTCCGAGCAGGTATATCCGTTGTCTAGATAGTTAAACTCGACATGTAAAAAATACTAATTCAACAACCGAATACTCCCTGCCACCAAATTTTATGTTGTTAATCCATATATATATATTTCTTCTTACAGACAATAAGTCAAGCATTGGCAACTGCCCGCGAACATCTAGCGAGACAACTCCTTAAATGATGTGTTGAAAGAGGAAAAGCAAGGAGAGAGGACATCAGTTTTATATGTTTCTGTTTCATCAGATGCTGCAATATTATCAAGTTCGATTACTTCTGCAGAACTTGGTTAATTTGGACATCGGAACAGTTGATGTCAAAGGTTTAGTATTCGAGATATATACGTTTACATATTTTGATGAATTGAATGCCATATGAACTCACAGGGATGTTCGAGATTCCGTTTGTAATTAATTTGTGTACCATATGCGATGTTGTCTTGATTGAGCTATAAACTTTCAATAACACGGAGTTTCCGAGAATCCGACTGTTGTATCATACTCCTTGAATCACAACATAATCTGCATCACGTATGAAACCGTCGCCGGCCGTAGGGGAGAGGTTACTGCGAGACACATCTTTGCGAACCACTTCATGATTCTCAGCCTCGTGCTGAAACATCTTAACCAACTCTTGAAGCTCCAACTTTCTAACTTCAACCTGCTCTTCGGTGACCGGTTGTTTCAGCCCAAGGTAGAGCAGCCCTACTCCGATTAGCACGGCTCCTATAAAGGCGAGAACGGCTGAAAATACACCGAATGCGTATGGAGCGTTCTGTGCTCCCGGCATTCCGTCAACATTAATTCCAAATAGCCCGGTGATGATGGAAAGGACAAGGCCGCAGCCACCAAAAACAGTCAGGTTGTGTGTCACTCGAAGGCTTCGATCCTGTAACCATGCACGAACAGTGCTCTGCATCACGTCCTGAATGGTAAATAAGCGGCCGCGAACTGCTTCTTGCTCCTCGATCATTTCTCTTGTGGCCTTTCGTATTTGCTCTAACAAGGTTCTTGCTGCATTTCCTCTCAAATGTTGGAGAAGCTCGAATACAATCTCTTCTCTTGCATGAAGCGACCACTTCACTCTGATAACCTGCAATAAAATTATGGAGTTTGCCAAACAAAGTGTGTTAATTTGAATGGCAGGGTAACCTCAATGGACAGTCAAACAAAAAGTTTCTACTGACTGCCTAGATGCTAAACCTAAATGTTAGGCAGACTCGATTTTCCACTTCAACGGGGAAGGGGTATTCAAGGCCATAGGAAATACGACACCACATACATATGGTGGCTACAGGTTAGATATCATGCATGTACCCAAACACGAAGTATACAGTTAGAACCGTAGAAATAACGGGAGTAGGGTAGATTCAATAACATCATAAGAAAATATATTCTAACGTAATTCCTGTTGTCCACAAAACATGAGAAGCTCTCAAAACCAATACCCCTTTCCGATTGACTCAGTTTCTTGCTTCCATTTTGATGTGCAAGATCTGTACATTAGTATATCACTCAGTCACTCACACAGCCACACCCCAATGGCTTGTAGAAGCCATTTGTCTTACGAGATTTGGGATTCAACAGCTCATAGAAGCCATTGTCTTACTAAAAGTTCAGGTTATTCATCTTTGGTTTATCCTTTCAACAAGAATAAAAAGGTCGTACCCAGTGCACAAGGCTCCCGCTTTACGCAGGGTCTGGGAGAGGTGAATGTCGGCTAGCCTTACCCCCATTTATGGAGAGGCTGCTCCCAAGACTCGAACCCGAGACCTACCGCTCATGGGCGAAGGCACTTGCCATCGCACCAAGTGCGACCTCTAAACAAGAATAAACGTAAAAATAGAATCGAGCGATTTTTACATCAAATGGAATTTGCTAGCAAGGAGATACAGCATACCTGTCTTGATAGCTTTCTGATTTCTTGGTTGAGGATTACAGTGAAAAGATTCATATCCTCATGGTTTCTCCTATTAAACAAAGAAGGTAAAGTCATAAGTGAATTACAAACTAAATAGTAATCAACGAGGTAATATTACTTTACGGGGAATGGTTGTATGCATATGGAAGAACCTGTTCATAAATTTTAATTCAACCTCATCAGCTGCTCCAAATATGGACTTACGGAATAACCTGAAACAGCGGAGACATTGAAGGGAACCACAGGTTAGAGAATAAGAAATGACAAAGACGTAACAATGCATACATAAAATTATGGACAACGGAATAGAATTAGTTGTAGTACATGCATGAGCCAACGCCAATAATTGATGTGCCATTTCCACAGTAAGTAGGCTTTTGTAATTTTGCTATATCAGAACGATAGTACTGAAGTTACCTGTCATCCCATCGAGTAAGGCGGCAAGCTAGATGTGCTATGACTTCATGCACTGTTCTCGGTGCATTATAGCCTCCAGTTGAAACAAGTTCCTAACCAAAGCAAAGGATTAACCTACCAGCCTTTAAAGTTGCATGCACAAAAAAAATAACACAGTAAGAAGTTCAAAGCCACTGAAAGGATCAGTCAAAGATGAACAACCTGAACTTCTGTGATACCCAACACATTTATACTTGACACAGGCCCCTTAATATGCAAAACCGTTACAAGGAAGTTTTGTGCTTGCCACGATCTAAGTACAATGGGGATATCATCCTCATCAACAAATGGATTCCCAATAGACTGTCCCAAAAGCTCAAATAGCAACCCCCCGGCAACCCTAACTGGGACCTGAAAAGAGGCATCAAAGCATGTTCAGAATCAACTCTTCAACAAAAACCAGATTCCGAAAAAGTTTAAGCTGAAAGTCAGTCACTTTGTTACACTCCTGCCACTGCAACAGGCTTTACAAACCAATACTACTAATTACTTAGCAATTTCAGATATAACAAATGCAATGTACCTCGTATCGCAGGTGCTTCATCCGGTCACTGATCAGTCGACTTTCATCTCTTAAAGCTAAGCTAACTGCAGGGTGAAGCCACTGGGCATTGCTGAGCCATGCTTCAACTGTGGGGTGGCCTGCAGAGACATGGCACCACCAAATGGGCCCTGCCGGACACTCCCAATACGGAGCTGCTAAATCTGCAACAGTGAAGTCATCTTCACCATCCATCCCAAACTGCTGAGAGGCCCAACTAGCGTTAGCTTGCACAGTTTGTACAATTTCCGAAATCCTATCCCACCCAATTGGAACCCAATGACCACCCTCAAACCTTTCCATATCCTGAACTTGGCCTGATTGCTGGCTCCTATCTTCCATTTGGGATGGAGAATCAGAAAATCCGTAAGAAGGAACACGCACCCTCTCTTGCTCACCATCTATTTGTTTGTTTAGTCAGGTTTTTTGAACCAGGTTTTGAACTAATTATTTTCTTCCGGCTTCGGATAAACTCAAAAGCACAAATAAGCCCATTTTTCCAAAGGTCACTCCCAATCCCAGGCATGGGATCTCTACTAGGAAAAATTCTATGGCTATCCGGGTTCTTCGTGTTATTGCAATGGGAAGAACTGTTCTCCCCCACTCTACTGTTGTTGTGTTCCATCGATGCACAGCTAAACCATGGAAGTTGCAATTATCAGACACAGGATTAAGCTGCAATTAGTGATCACAGCTAAATACTGCAATGTTTAGAAAAATAATCAAAACCTGACTATAATTAAATTAGAATTTCAGTCCATGGATTGCAGTTTGCACTCATAAATTGGGAAAAGATTCAAACTTTCCATCTCCGAGAGTATAAAAAGTTTACAGACAACCTCCAAGTTAACAGACAAAACAATAAAACAAAAGAAGCAGCAATCGAGCAAATAAACTCTACCCATATAAACAACCGAATAAGAACATGACCCAGGAAAAACAATTAAAAAATACCCAACAAATAAAAATCAAGTGGGATAGAGAGAAAATTGTTCCTGAAAATTTAGAGGGGGAGAAAAATGATGAATTTAAATGGTAAATTATGGGTTCTTGAACGAATAAAAGAAGATTTCTATTACTGTTAATTAGGAGGAAATGAAATGAGAGGAGGAGGACCTTACCCAGGAAAGAAGGCAGAGTGTTGAAAAACCTAAGCTCCACCAAGGCAATGCCTTTGTTTGATTTATGCAGGAGAGAAAAACTTGAACTCTAAGAAAAAACAGAGGGACGTGGAAAGGCTACGAACGTTGGTACAATTCGACGCTTCCCTTCATCAGAAAAAAAAAAATGCGATGCTTCTAAGTGGCAGAATCACTAAGGGGACACCAGAATGGTCTGTTCCCATCTGCCTTTATTTTCTTTGTTGGTGGTACTATTAACAGATGTTGTTGCTGCATATCAATCTAATTCTCTTAAATTTAAGAACGTTTTCAATTCAAACTCGTTTTTACGTTCCAGGCCAGACCTCATTTTTCTCTCTATCCCTCTGGCATGGAGCATTTACTTCCCCTCTGCCATGAAGTTTTAAGAATTAAGGTAAGACTATCCATGGAGATTCTTGAGGCTAGAGTCCAATATGCGTCACTACTGTATTTTTCATTTTTTTTTTGTTTCGGCTTAAATATTCTATTAAATATACATTTATTGCTTAATAAACCGTAAATCCACTTCCAAATGCCTTATAAAGGTTTCCTTAATGCTCACAGAAAATATTTCGCAAAAAATAAATTTTTTTGCATATTTTACAAAAAAAATGTGGGTTAACGGCTATTTGAAAGATGCGTAATAAAGTGAAGTTTGAAAGTAAGCCTATTTTCTTTTCACACCTTTGTGGTTCTACTTTGGTATGGATTAGGCAGGTTGGACTCACTCCTGGTCATGTATGTGATATTTTGGATAAGCAACTTTTAGTCTCTCTTGAATCTTGGCTGAGTCCAGTAGATCTTGTTGAGCCAACACATCTTTGACCTCACATTGCCACATCCCGAAGTTGTTTGTTCCATCAAACTTTTCCACTTCGAACTTTGCATTTTGCACCATAGTTCTTGCAAACCCGGAGCTGCTTCCAAAAGGATTCTCATCTTGTCCGTTTGACATCTTTGGCAACTAGACAGTACCCAAGAGCAACCTGTGCTCTGATACCAATTGTTGTGCTAGGATAACACCAAACCTTATGGAACCAACTCTTGATAACCCACAGAAAATATATCAAATGAAATGCAAGAACAAAATATTAAAGACACCAAGATTTTAACGAGGTTCCTCAATAGTCAGTGGAACTGGAGTACGTTCTCGGAGCAGTAGGAGCTCACCCAATAATCCACTATCAACCAAATGGGAGTTTACAAAGTGTTGACAATCTCACAACCCAAATAACCCAATACACCCAATAGCTCTCACACACCAACGAAACAAATAGAGTAAGAAATATAATGAATAATTTCTTCTCTATACATATAGCTCAAAGCTATTACAACAACACTATTTTGGTGGATGATTACTAACCAATGAAGCAGCAGTTTCTTTTCTCTGA